GTGTTTACCCGTATTATACACGGGTCCTAATATAGTAGACCTATATGAGAAAGAATCGATGACATTAATGATATACATTTATCAATTATGGATTTATATGTGTTGTTTGATAAAATTAATTATAAATGATTTTTATAGGTTCTTATGAGATGATCAACATGAAATTTATTCATTTCTAATTTAATTCTACAATATTTTATTTGTTTGACGATTTTTTATCACATAATTAGTATATATTCATAATTGGTTAAAATAATTTGTTTTTATTAAGAATATGAATTGAATTCCATTTATACATATTTTAGGTTCCGCATGTATGAACTAGATCATAAAAACTGAGATATAAATTGATTTATACTGATTTAAAATCTGTATTTAAATAGTATTTCAAACTATATTAGTAATTTAACGTGTTATTAATTGAAACTTAAGTTAAATCCAAGTAGAATATGTGTGTGTTTGTTTTTATGTTTCGAATGGGAACCATGAGAAATAAACTGGAAATAGTATGCGAAGATTCAAACAGTAATAAAAATACATATGTTTTGACGTCTTGTTCCTTCACCGTCCCATTCTCTGCTTCCATCAAATTTTGACTTGTTGGAGATTCTCAAACCAAAAGACCGCAAATGTATACTTACAGTTTTCTCTCCGTCGTCGCCCTAGTTTCTCTCCCGAATAGTAGCCGCCGCTTCATATCTTATCTACGTCGTTTCTTTGGATCCGGCGGCCGGCGGGCCGGAACCCCTGTGTCTTAATCTTCGTGTTTTTTTTTGTGTAGGTAGTTTCTAGGTTAGTTCAGAGGTTCTTCTTGGTGGATTTGGTTGTGGAGCTGGGTTCGATATCTGGAGCAGTTCGGTATTCAGGATTGTTTTGGTCTCGGGTGAAACTTGAAGATGAAGTGGTCTCTGCGTTGGGGGAGTGGTGCTCGGTTCTGCTGGTTTCTGTTTCCTCTTCTTCTCCTCTCGGACCTAAGCATTCTAGACTTTGTGGCTGGTCTCGTTCGTATTTGGCAAGCTTTGGAGTGTGGAGGTCTCTCCGGGGTATGGACCTCCTTAGTCTTGTGGTGCCAGTTCTATGAGCAACGGAGCAGCGAGCCTGCTAACTCCACAGATTTGGGCTGGTGGTTCTTACCTCCTTCTCGCGGTTCCATTATTCTTCAAGGTCAGGTCTGGTTGCTCTTATCTTCTTGGATCGTGATCTTTGCTGGCTCTGATTTGCAGTCTTTGTAGTCTGCATCTTTGGCTGATTTCTTGGCTTTAGTGTTAGTTAATTTTAGGTGGTTTTTGGTTGTTTTATGAATGATTCTCTATTGGTTGAAGTTTCAGTTCTGGTCATTTGTCAAGGTCTTCATGTTGAGGAAAGTGCCATTTGTACAAGTCTTCGGATTTGTTGGTATTGCGGCATTGCTGCACTAGCTGTCAGCTTCATGATTCGCCTTCTTTTTGGCTTGTTCTTTTAACTTTGTGATGGCTGTTTATGTGTGGAACTTAAGATTCGATGTATTGCCAAAAAAGCGGATATCAAATTAGTTAGAATGTCCCGTCTTTTGGGTGTTTGGCTTGGTTACTTTGAGTTGAGTTCGTGGCTCTTTTCCTTATATCGATCACTTGGATTTTCTCGACTCTTGTTCTGTATCCAGTCTTCACGTTTGTTCTCGGCAAAGTGTGGTCTATGAAATTCCTATCTCGGCCAATTTCCGCTTGTATTGTCTAATGTTATAACTTAGTTTTTCGTCTTTTGTAATTTAAATGTTTCTCTCTTTTGGGCTGTTGGCTCCGGTGACATTTCATAGTCCGTCAGCTTTTGGCTTTGGGAACATTTAGTTGTTCGCCGACTTATAATGTAAAGTTATGTATTTCACTTTCGGTTATCATATCAATAACATTAGATGGCATTAAAAAAAAGTATACTTACATTTTTCAAACAAATCAGCAAAAAATGGATACCGTCCACGAGGATGAAAATTGGAATACGGCAAACGAGAAGAATCTAGTCAACACACCACCACCAATCATAAAACTACATTCCTTCTTCATTCTCTTCTTCCAAAAAAAAAACAAAATATATATATATACAATTTTGAATATTCAGAGCTCCATTGAATAATTTAGCTCCACAAGAATATGTAAATTCTCAATAGATTATTCGTTATTCCTGGGATAAGTTTCGTTGCACAATTTGCTTCTACACAATGTTTTCAATAGTGATATTTGCTTAGTTACTTGGCTTGTACACGGCTGTTCTCGCCGCAGGAATGATTCCCCTGGTGACCAGAGCATTATCTGCATCGCCGTCTCGTCCTTCCTCGAAGCCGATTCAAGACATTCGACATTTCTTCTGAGTGTCTCACTGTGGTTTGTTAACATTGTCCAAGTTTTGGGTGTGAAGTGCTTTTTTTTTTTTTGCATAACTCGTAATCTCAAATCTCAACATGGCAACATAAACTTTAGGAAGCATATTATACATGTTTAATACCTGCGTGTATCATTCTGCAATTCGAATGCAAAAGTAAAAGGACAATCGAAATCGAAGGTCGAACATTAGTAAGAGAGTAGTTGTCTTCAGGTGAAGAAACGATGGAACAAGGAACATAAGAAGGTGCTTCCCTATGGCACTTGCAGCAATAGTCTTTCACTAACAGTCATGCAATGTTGGATTAGTAATGATGTTAAGATAGCTCTAATAACACTCATATAACCAGTTTTACAAAAAGGAGTTTAATTTGGATTCTTCAGTAAACAAAATATTCAGCTGAAGATGAGCAATACTACACTCATTACTCCTATTTCATCAGTCTCAAATTTCACGGAAAGTCTTTACTTGTTGGTGGTTGGACGACGAGAAGGAACATTCCGGTACACCTCTCTTAAACTCTTCCACCTACGGTCCTCTAATGCCTCACAATGCGGTGAAACCCTAGACGTCCAGTGTGCACAAGGCGCAGCCAAATCGCATACATAGCAGTAG